TTTCCCCTTCGCCGATCGGGGCCACGCCCACAACATGATCGACGTGGTTGCGTCACCTCTGGTGACGCAGCCATGCTGCGCTTCAGTGGGTGGAGTCCCCCCCGGGGCCCGATTCCGCCGCGGCAGAAATCGGGCCTCCGAAGCGGGGGATTCCCTGCCCCCCGCCCCAATTTGGCAACCCTATCTTGATGCTATCACTGAGCACTTTATTACTATTAAAGTACTTGTTTTATCTTGTTTTAATGTTTTATACTGGCACATGTTGCCCTTGTTTGTGAGCCGCCCTGAGCCCGTTCGTGGGGAGGGCGGGATAGAAATGCAATAATAAATAAATAAATGTTTTTATGATGCCAGGGGCCTTGTAAGCTGCCCTGAGCCTGCTTTGGTGGGGAGGGTGGGGTATAAATCAATTCAATCAATCAATAAAGAGGGCTTCTGTGCACACGGTTGCCCCTGTACAAAATGGTTTCCAAACTTACTTGGATGATTAGGGACTGTGGTCCATGCTGCTGCATATGGCTTATTGTAAGTAGGATCCTAATGTAAATTTCATACCACTTGAATGTGTCATGTTAATATTTATATACTATGCTTTCGTTCTTTCTGTTGGTTCCTTCCTGGAATAAATGGTGTCGACTTTTTATCGCCACCAGACTGTTTAATTTTGCTGCTGCAGCCGAACATGGCCACAGATCTGTCTATTAAGTGCCATGCTGGGCAGATAGCGTGGTGCAGTGGTTAGAGTGCCTTGCTGAACTCTGGGAGATCCAGGTTCAAATTCCCCTTCTGGCATGCAAGCCTGCTGGATGACCTTGGATCCGAATATGTGTTGCATGCACAGGGAAGCTTATACCCAGAATTGAATTTTGTTGGTCTTAAAGGTGCCACTAGAGACTCAAAACTGTTTAAATTGGCCAGGTTGCGCACACTCTCAGCCTAACCTACCTCACACGTCCAGGCAGTCAGCCGTGTTGGTCTGACTTTTTCAAATACATTGGAATGGCAGATGAGGTTCTAAACATATAGACAGGGATTTAACGGCAAATTAACATGTACATATGCTAACCAATGCTCCCTCTAAGCTGTGGAGTCTTGTGAGCAAAAATTCTACTTTGTGAACTGCTGGTCTTAAAAGTTGTGAGTGAGCAATTTGTTGTTGTTGTTTTGTCGCACAGTCGAGTCCGACACCCCATGGACCAGATCACGCCAGGCCTTCCTGTCTTCCGCCGTCCTCTGAAGTTGGCTCAACTTCATGTTCGTTGCATCTATGGCACTGTCTAACCATCTCATCCTTTGCCATCCCCGTCTTCTTTGACCTTCAATCTTTCCCAGCATCATGGCCTTCTTCTCCAGTGAGTGCTCCCTTCTCATTGGGTGGCCAAAGTATTTGCGCTTCAGTTTCATTATCTGTCCTTCCAGGGAACAGTCAGGGTTTATTTCTTTTAGGATTGACTGATTTGATCTTCTTGCAGTCCAAGGGACTCTCAAGAGTCTTCTCCAGCACCATAGTTCAAAATAATCTATTCTTTGGCGCTCGGCCTTATAGTCCAACTCTCGCAGCCATACGTGACTACTGGGAATACCATTGCTTTGACCATGCGGACCTTTGTTGGCAGGGTGATGTCTCTACTTTGTATAATGCTGTTTAGGTTCGCCATCGCTTTCCTCCCAAGTAACAGGCATCTTTTAACTTCATGGCTGCTGTCAATTTGGATACTGCATAAATCAGTTTGCTTTGGAGCCATCCTTCCTGAGCTAAGAGAAAAATCTGTGAGCCGGAGGCTAAAAAACTGTGAGGTAGCTCACACTAACTCAGCTTAGAGGGAACACTGATTGTCCTCACATATGTGTTCTCAACAAGGAGGAGTATAAATCCTCTATATTTTAGTGTATTTCATTTTCAGAATAGACATCAGGGCTCTTTTTGTAGATAAAGACCAGCAGGAACTCATTAGCATAATTCTTCTCCAGTGAGTGCTCCCTTCTCATTGGGTGGCCAAAGTATTTGCGCTTCAGTTTCATTATCTGTCCTTCCAGGGAACAGTCAGGGTTTATTTCTTTTAGGATTGACTGATTTGATCTTCTTGCAGTCCAAGGGACTCTCAAGAGTCTTCTCCAGCACCATAGTTCAAAATAATCTATTCTTTGGCGCTCGGCTTTCCTTATAGTCCAACTCTCGCAGCCATACGTGACTACTGGGAATACCATTGCTTTGACCATGCGGACTTTTGTTGGCAGGGTGATGTCTCTACTTTGTATAATGCTGTTTAGGTTCGCCATCGCTTTCCTCCCAAGTAACAGGCATCTTTTAATTTCATGGCTGCTGTCAATTTGGATACTGCATAAATCAGTTTGCTTTGGAGCCATCCTTCCTGAGCTAAGAGAAAAATCTGTGAGCCGGAGGCTAAAAAACTGTGAGGTAGCTCACACTAACTCAGCTTAGAGGGAACACTGATTGTCCTCACATATGTGTTCTCAACAAGGAGGAGTATAAATCCTCTATATTTTAGTGTATTTCTTTTTCAGAATAGTAGACTAGAATACCGAATGGATGTCTGCTGACAGCATTACATCCAGCTCAAAATATACTGTTAAGTGCCCTCCACCCACCCTCCATGCTGGAGAGGAGATAATTAAGATTCTGTTACTTCCCACAATCTTTTTCACTTTGCATAACTTAAACGTCATCATGTTACATGTTAATTTGCTGTTAAATCCCTGTCTATAAGTTTAGAACCTCATCTGCCATTCCAGTGTATTTGGTGCCTCATGCAGGAAAGCTCACACCTGGAATAAGCCTGTTGTTGGTCTTAAAGGTGCCACTGGACTCTAAATTTGTTCTACCTCACAGGGTCGTTGTGTGAACAGAAGGGGAGAATGTTGTCATAAGCCACTCGGGGAGAAAATTGGTCTATAAGGATTGGTAAATAAAATTAGTAATGTAGGAGGGTGACGGGTTAAGGGCACCTTTGGATCTTAAACTGTCAAATCTCAGTGGGTGTTGCCTTTTGTCTTAAAACCGGTTTTGGGATTTGATCTGAATGTCAACACCCGAAGGCCAGTTTTGGTGGCCCGGTGGGGAATATATATTAATTAGGAATAGATGTGTGTTCAGAAATGTAATCGACACAAGGCGCGACGTGTGGGCATTTCGCCTTCCCTCGCACCCGTCGAAATCGCGCCTTCCCTCCTCATCTGCCTCCCTCTCCTGAGGTAAACTCGTAGACGAGCCGAACCCCCAGCGAACCCCCTTTTATCAGGCCCTGCGGAAGGATCCCGTCGCCATTTATTTTCTCTTCACCGCAAGGAGGAGCACCGACATATTCTTACGCAGCCGGGTAGCCGCCTCAGGAGCATCCTTAGGGCGAACCCGAGAGAGAGGGAGGGGGGGATTCCTTTTTCGAGCGCCAATTGGCTGCCGTCCTTACAGCCGTCCCACCTTCGCGGCATTTTCCCTTAATTGGATTGGCCGACCGGCGTGCAGTGATTGGCAGAGCTCTTTCGCCTCCCCCCCCCCCGGTTCCAGGATGGACAAGACGCACCGGCCTATCCGCTGGAAAGCCGCCGGGAAGGATTGGAAGGCGAGAGACGCTCTCTTCCCTTCTGATTGGGGGACGGAGCCGAGGGGGCGGGACTTTTTGTGGAGGGAGGCGGGGGAGCGGGTCCAGCGAGTCATCGGGTCAGTGTAGAGGCGGCGGTCGTGACAGGCGCGTCGCCGCCCTTCGGGCTCCCTTCGTCTGCGGGCGCCGCTCGGGCAGTCCGTGATGGGGCAGGGCGGCTTCGCCCCCCAGGGCTTGGTCAGCTTCTTCTTTCTCCGGCGAAGCGGCTGATAACAACGACCGTGTCGCTCCTCCCTTGACCGGCGCGCAGAGGTAAAAAAGGGAGGGGGGGGAGAGGAGAGAAGGGTGGTCCGTGGGCTCATTCATCCCCCCCAAAAAACAACAACACAACAACCCCGCAAGAGTGGATGATACTTTCACCCTCCTCAAGAAATTTCTCTAAATATCATTTAATTTATTTGTTTATCGTTTGCATTTATAATAAAAGGCCCAGACTCAGAAGGTGCGTGAATGATGCGGCAGTCTTGTTAGAAGCAGTGAGGAATCTGGGTCTGATTGACGTCTGGAACGAGGAGAGGGAGGAGAAGATGATGCTTAAATATATCTAGAAGATGCTTGTTGTGACTGTGGGAAAGGGTAAAGTGAATCACGTTTTAGGGTTTTTATTTTTGGTTTGGGGGGCACATCAGGTTCTGGAATACGCATTAGATCTTTCCTGTTCAGATTAGAGTTGCTGATGGTTCTGGGTCTGATTGACGTCTGGAACGAGGAGAGGGAGGAGAAGATGATGCTTAAATATATTTAGAAGAGGATTGTTGTGACTGTGGAGAGGGTATACGTGAATCACGTTTTAGGGTTTTTGTTTTTGGGGGTACATCAGGTTCTGGAATACGCATTAGATCTTTCCTGTTCAGATTAGAGTTGCTGATGGTGAGAGGTTAGAATAAGGATGTACCTCTGTTGTCCTGGCTGGAGAGAAATTCTGTGCATCTGTTTGGTGTTTGGCATTGGCATTTTGTCTTTCGGCAGGCCAGATATATGTTCTTCGTTATGTCAGATCTGTCTGGCCTGCCTCTCTCCAAAGGACCCAGTCATGTTAGTATTATTAGAATTAGTGTGATGTAATTTTCTGTATGTATTTAGTATGAAGAGATATATGTTGGCTGAATGAATCCCTTAATAGTGCTAATATGCTAGCATTTAATTAGACATCTATTAGTATTGCCTAGAGGCTTTACATCATAGGGAATAGGTGGTTTATAAATCAAAATAGTAATGATGATGATGATGATAGTAATAACGATGGCGACGATGGAATATATTTAAAAACTTCCTTTATATAATACATTGAAAAGTTATCTTCCCAAAACGTGGTTTGGCATTTAATTAAAGACATCTATTAGTATTGCCTAGAGGCCTTACATCATAGGGAATAGGTGGTTTATAAATCAAAATAATAATGATAATGATGATAGTAATAACGATGACGACGATGGAATATGTTTAAAAACTTCCTTTATACATTGAAAAGTTATCTTCCAAAAACGTGGTCTTGAAGTGGCTCAAAGAAATCAAACTAAAAACACAGTAAATATTTATTTATTTATTATTTATTTATTTTTGGATTTATATCCCGCCCTCCCCAAAGGCTCAGTATATAACTCAGTAAGGGTTTACTCCAGGTGTAACTCCTGGCAGTTGCCTCTTGGTAGTTGTAGTTGGGGATGGAGGAGCTTTCAAATGGCGCTTATATCTTTGCTTCTCTGCCAAGTTGCCTACTGAGACAGCTTCCAGGGTTCTATAATTAAAACGTGTATCACATAGCAAAGACTAGTATAAATATGATCATGGTGGGATATAAATTAAATAAAGGGTCATCAGTCTTATGGTGAGATTCCAATTAAATGAACAAGTTTACCACTATTTTAACCATTACTTATCAGTCAACTCAAATGATTTAGGGACGGTACGGAAATTAAAAACAAATTCGGGTCCGCTCAGAGGCTGACATTCTAGAAGAGAGAACACATTAGGAAGGGAAGAAGGGTGAACTGGAAAAAAGCCTCATTAAAGCAGGTGCGCCTGGCAAGTGTCACAAAGAGCAAGTCAGATGTGTAGTGTCTGTAAACACCGTGCAAAATTAAAACAGACATACACACTGTTCCCCCCACTTATGTGTTGCTTATTCAGGAGTAAACCCTGGATGTAATCTCAAGAAAATACATACTGGGATGGTTGCATCCTTAAAATCCCAAATACTTGGGCCCTGAAGTTTTGGCTGAATCTGAGAGTGAACCTGGAAGAGGCATTGGTGGTGGCACTGGAGTCTCTGATGTGTAGTTGGTAGAAGGGTGTGTGTGTGTGTGTGACCATGATGCACAGTTCATGTATCTAGCTATATGCATGTTTATATAATCATATGTTCATCTATACAGCTATGGTGTAGAAGTGTGTACGAAAGATGTCTTTCACACACACAGATTCATGGAGTCTATAGTTCTAAGTACTGCAAGACACACACCTATATGAACATCAGGATATGAGGCTAGCAGATTTTACCTGTATATTCTAAAACGGCCAGACAGCGGTAATTTTTTCGGTCTTAAAATGTGTATATATTTGTGAATATACATCATCTCTGTGTACCAGTCTCTCTTGTCCTCTTAGATATGTGCATATATTTGTTTTGTGATACTTCCCCTGCAGTCTTTCCTCATGACAATGCAGGAGCACACACCCCTCCCATGACCTGAGCTCTCCTGCCTTTCTTTCTCCCCATCATTGAATTCCGACACGAGATTGCCAACATTTTCCATTTTCTTCTGCCCATCTTGTTCTTAATTTCATATTTCCGGGGGCCTGTTCTTGAGGTCTCATGACAGTCTGATTTAAAATGCCTCCCAACTCAGCCAAGTTTGAGTCTTCCTTTTCTCTCTCTCACTCCCCCCCCCTTCCAGCAAGGCATTACTTCATGTTTTTCTTGAGAGGGAGCCTGTTTGAGTCTGACATGCATGATAGGGAATTTCAGTGGCCTTTGCTATTCCAAAATCTGTTCGGAATCTGACATTGCTTTCAGATGCTCCTGCAGCCTGTATCTTACAGCCCTTTCTCCTGTTTTCAGAAGTGTGGTCTCAAAGGACTCCTTTTGTGTGTACCATACCCTGATCTTTGTTTTAGAAGTAGATAATTTCCTCCAAATTGTAAACTACTGACCACCCCCTTCCACCTCTCTGAGGTTCTGGTGTGGCCTAGGCTTCATCTCTTCTGATTTTTTAAGCAGGGTGGGGTTGCATGCTGAATTCTGCTACATTCTTCACTGTCATAACCCCCCCCCCCTTCCACTGCAGTAGCTGGTTTGGAGTCTATGGGAAGCTCTTTGTTTTGTTTCTGCCCCTGGCTTTTAGGACTCGATTCAGTTGCCATTCTGTTTGTGTGTGTGTGTTTTCCCCTTTCCTCTGTATCCAGCTCCGCACAATTACCGGGGGCAGCCATATTGGAATGATCTTATACTCCTCTAGAAGCTTAGTCAGTGAATGGGGCAGAAGGCTGAAAATGACCAGTTTGGAATTGGGTGGCTTACTGCAAATACTTAAAACTCACAGGGGGTCATGGAACCATCTATTAACGGTTGCACTTGCTTGAATTTCCGCTTAATTATCTCTGTGTGTTCATGATCATGGTGAATCTTTTAGGGTGGGGTTCTTTGGACTCGCAGAGTGTTTTGTCCCTGCTGTCCTTATTTTGTTTTTTAATTGTTATGCAGTCCATTATCTCTGGCTTAGCGGTATTTAAACCTTACCCCATTCCATCTTTTTCCCTGTTCCTTTTGTCTCTGTTTTATTGTAGAGTCGGCAGGGAATGTTCTAAATTTTTATTTCTCATACAGTATTCAGTACATGGTTAGCACTATAAAAATGATGGTGCCTATCAGGTATTTAAGTCTTTCTCTCATTTCCTATTATTATAAATGTTCTGAGATTCGTAACACTGATGGCGAAACTGATATAATTCAGATACTCGGCACTGCTGCTTTAATTTAAGAGCAACTCTCTAGCTGTCTGTGTTGATGTGATCTAAGGGGATGCATTTTCCGGTTTCTGTTCCCTTGCTAGAGTACATGGCACGGCCCTCTGGCTTGTGGGTGCTGAGGCAACTTTGCGTGCTTCTCATATCATCTTAGTCGTGTTACAGTATTTCTGTGCTAGCGAGTCAGATTGTAATTTAAAATCAGTATGCCTGTCCTCAGTATATCTGAGGGCATCTAGAATCCAACTTTGGGGGGGTCAACAGTGGGAGGGCTTCTAATGTCCTGGCCCCACTGGTGGACCTCCTGATGGCACTGGTATTTCTGGCCACTGTGTGATACAGAGTGTTGGACTGGATGGGCCTTTGGCCTGATCCAACATTGGCTTCTCTTATGTTCTTATGTTAAGTGATGCTCTGTATTCTTGGTGCTGGGGGGGCAGTGGGAGGGCTTGTGGTGTCCTGGCCCCACTGCTGGACCTCCTGTTGACACCTGGTATTTCTGGCCACTGTGTGACACAGAGTGTTGGACTGGATGGGCCTTTGGCCTGATCCAACATTGGCATCTCTTATGTTCTTATGTTGGTTTCTTGTGAAAGTGTTAGTCTGGCTTCATAAGCACATTGTGCTAATGCAAAACCCCAGACTAGATTATGTAAAGCAAAAATATTTGCTTGTGTGTACTTTGGATGATACCGTGTTCGAAGATGAACTGGCCCTCTCCAACCCACCCACCCCCAATTTGTATTTGTCAGACAAGGTCTGGGGATGGAAAGTGAAATGGCGAGAGATGAGGGCGGTAGAGATCAAGGCTTGCTGCAAACTAGGGCAAGGGGGAGGCCTTTTACAGTCACCTTTTCCCGCGTGCAATCTGCTTTCTCTTGATTTCTGAGCCATCATAAAAATCGGGTTAGAAACCTGGTCCCTGTTTCTAAGAACCAGCGTTAAGCTTATTCACCAGACTTTCTGGACAAAACGTTCACATGCTTGTGTTCAGGCGTTTACACAGCTAGGCTGTGTTCCTTTCCTGTTCAAAATAGATTTTTGTTTGCCCTTTAACTGTGAGGACGAGCCAGTTGCTTGTAAAAAAGAAAGCCAAAGTTTTCCTCTTTATGTAATAACAGCTTTTTTCCTCCTCTTGCTGTCAAGTCACGGCTGACTTATGTGACCCCGTAGGGTTTTCAAGGCAAGACACATTTGGAGGTGGTTTGCCACGGCCTGCCTCTGCATCGGGAGACCCTGGTATTCCTTGGCAGTCTCCCACCCAAATACTAACCAAGGTCAGCCTT